GAGCACAAGAGGAGCAGAAGGAGTAGGGGTGGGGGGAGAGAGAGAAAGACAGAATCTTAAGCAGACGCCATGCACAGCATGGTGCCCAATGGGGCTCAATCTCCCAACCATGAGACCATGACCTGAGCCAAAATCAAGAGTCAGATGCTTAACTGATTGAGTCACCCAAGTGCCCCAAGACCCATATATATTTTTTAAAGCTCTAAGATTCTCACCTTAATTTTCATGACCACGGAAGCAAAATCAGTTCTAAGGTGATACAAAGTAATAGGCTATATTTACCACTTGCAAAATAAAATTTCACCAATTGCTCATAATCTAAGCAAGAGTTGGGATATTTGGTCTTTTCAAAGGGAATTCTGTAAACAATGAACAGTTCAGAAAAGAAGACTTGTCAAGAGTGACTTTCCATACAAAAGTAAGACCAATAAGGTAAAACCTGATGCTAAAGAGGATAAACTCAAGAGAGGCCCTTCCATCCATTAATCTGTAGTGCAGTTTTACTTTTTGTAACCTGGCTTTGGGAATTGTTGCAGGAATAGTACTGGCCTTTCATATCTATACTCAGAACTTTGTATTCAGAAAAGTCAATAATAAACATAGGCCCCTTCAGAAAAGTTAATAATCTTTCCGTTAATATTTTTAATACAGATGAATATTCTATAAAAATGTAAGTAAGTATTCTGAAATAATATTCTTGTTCGCAGTGCTAATGTATTTTTACCCACTGAGGTCTACAGAGAATCATAGCACAATCCTGATATACTCTTACCTTCACAAGTTCTTTAAATACAGCGTGCTGAATCATTTTTCTTTTGTTAAGACCAGATGCCATCTCTTCAAGATCAATAGCAGACCTTCATGATGATGGTTATTTGTGGGTAGGAGAGAAAAGCCAGTTAAGACGTTCTGAAAAAAAGTTTCTGCTCCAGAGAATGTAAAAATATTCAATCATTCACATTAGTAGCCCTCTGATTAACATGCATATAATTACCACAGATTTATAAGTCTATATCCTAAAAAACTGATCAGGAAATATTAGACGCAAGACTGGTTAGTTTTTCAAGGTTTTTTTTTTTTTAAGTCTAAATATAAATTTGTCCTCATATCACCACAAAGTATTAATTTTATTTACTTATTTTTACATATATACTTTATACATCTTTACACCCAGCAGAAAATAGGATTAATTTCTCTAATTCTAAATGTGTAAATGCCAGCAGTTCTACATTCATTACCCAGTCTAACAGTATGAAAAGGAAAGATGGCCTGGACATGACAAGGGCGAGGATTCAAGAAGTTAACTGAGGTGCCTGTATTACTCTATGAGCCCTGCCCCAGTCAGTGCCTTTCCCAGTGAACACAGTAACTGAGATGACACACATTACTCCTTCATTCAAATACGGACAGAAAATCAAAAAGGAGAGCAAGAAATGAATACAATTCTCCAATAATGAAGGAAGCTCATTAATGTCATCTTAAGCCTGAAAAGGATAAACTGGCACCACTTTTGTATGAAGAATTGTTAAAAGGCTTTTATATCGAAATACTATACTGTATATGATTGAATCCATCCAAATAAAGGAGTAAAATGGAAAGAAATCCATAATTAAATGAAAGCCACATGTAGTTTATTCTTTGAAACATCATTACGGAAACATACTATAAATACAGTCTTGCAACATATGAGTTCTATTCTTTTCAAATGCTTAAAGCAGAAACATTTCTTGATATAGCAGACTTTTCTGGTTAGCTCCTCATCTCAGTAAACTAAATTCAGTTTTGCCTGCTTTTTACCTGATTAATTTAACTTACTTTACATTTTCTCTTAGTTGCTTCACTAGTTTAATATTAACATCTGCTTCCAATAATGCTGTACATACTTCTTTTAGCATAGCATTTAATACCTGCAAATAAATAAATACATAAAAATTTAACACAACCCCCCAAAAAAGTTTAACACTCCCCGTGTATCATTTCAATCTTATAAAAACAATGGCTGATTACTCATCATATACTACCATAACTTAATAAAAATAATACTACACTATTATAGGAAAAAAAGTTTTTCAATAAGCCTTAGAAAGAGCATTTTATCAAATGTCTAATCATGTTGTCAAAAAAAGACATTCTATTTAGTTTTATTCAACCAAATATTATCACAATTTTATTCCTATATTAACGTAACAGTAGTAAAGACTTTTTCTTTAAGCCAAAGAAAGTTACTACGCAAGAGATGCTGCTATTGAACACCTTCTGTGGCTGATACACAGCACTTTATATTCACTATATCTGCTTAATTGCACTACCATGGAGGAAAATATAACAACAACAACAAAAAATAACCAAGTCTGACCTAGCAGTCTTACTATTTCCACTCAGAGCAGAGGAACAAAGTTGAAAAGAAAACTATCCTCCATTGATAACTCACTATCAGGGCACCTGGGTGGTTCAGTCGGTTAACCGCCCCACTTGATTTTGGTTCAGGTCATGATCTCATGGTTTGTGAGTTTGAGCCATGCATCAGGCTCTATGCTGGGAGCCTGCTTGGGTTTCTCTCTCTTTCACTCTCTCTCTCTGCCCCTCCCCCGCCCACACTCTGTCTCTCAAAATAAATAAACATTGAAAAAAAATAAAAAAAAAACTATCATATGTTTGCTGAGTTACAAGGCCAGTTAAAAGGTCACAAACTATAAAGTCTTAAAAAAGGTGAGGCCTTGGGGCGCCTGGGTGGCGCAGTCGGTTAAGCATCCGACTTCAGCCAGGTCACGATCTCGCGGTCCGTGAGTTCGAGCCCCGCGTCGGGCTCTGGGCTGATGGCTCAGAGCCTGGGAGCCTCAATTCAGTGTAAGCCTCTCTCTCTTGCCCCCCCGTTCATGCTCTCTCTCTGTCCCCAAAATAAATAAATGTTGAAAAAAAAAAAAAAATTTTTAAAAAAAAAAAAGGTGAGGCCTTTGTTGCTCATGTAAATAAGTGTTTACACACTAAACTGTAAGCTCCATGAGGACAGGGATTCTGTAGTCTATTCTGTCACTGCCAAATCCCTGGTGCCAGCAAAAATGTATTCCTTGGGGCACCTGGCTGGCTCAGTCAGTGGACGGTGTGATGCTCAATCTCAGGCTGTGGGTTTGAGCTCCACACTGGGTACAGAGATGACTCAAACATAAAATCTTTAAAAAAAAATGTAGTCCCTCAAATCTTCTTGAATGAATTCCCATCTTCAACTCACTTCGTACATCCTACAGAGGCTTATCAGATCTATCTCTCACTAAAAGGGCCTGATAAAAATGGAACTGATCTTTCATTAGAGGGATTTCTTCTTGTTAATTCCCTAGCAGCACAGTACTAGGAACAGAGAAGTTTGCTAATTCAAGCAGTAGCTTTAACTCTACTTCCCACTAAGCTCTTTTCCCTGGTTTCTTTTTTTCTCCACTATAAACATAAAAAGCATAAAGGTTACACAATAGGGAAAACTGTTTTGAAAGCTGTTGTTTTATTTATTCTGAATTCCAAAGACTAAACAATGGTTTTAATTATTAGAAAAAGCACTGGATGAGGAATTAGAAAAAAGACACTAATCCTGGTTCTTCCAATAAATAAACATGTGAAACTGACTTTCTGTTGCTGTTAACTAAGAGGCTGGACTAGCTAAATTCAAAGATGGTCCCAAAATTATTCAATTCCATTAGCTTATTAAAATATTGATAACAAATTCTGCATTAGAATTTCTTCCCAGTGAGCACTGAGTAATGTACAGAAATACTGAATCACTGTATTATACACTGTATTGAACTAATATAGCACTGTTTGTTAACCACACTGGAATTAAAATTTTTTTTAATTAAAAAAAAGAAAAGAATTTTTTTTTCAAACTTCCAAGTTAGAAAGTACTTTTCATCTATTATTTCATTTGATCCTTAAAACCATCTTATAAGGTAAGTGCTTTTTTCTTATTTTATACATTAAAGAATCTGAAGTTGACTTGCCCAGATTTCTATCACAAGCTACTAAGTAGGTCACTAAACAAGGTCTTCTAAAACCAAATTCAGTACTCTCCCATTGGTACCACAAAATATAAAGTACACTTGTGGACTCTTATCTTTTTTCAATTCACAAATCATTAAGACACAAGACATGGGGGGAAAAAGAAAGAAATATTTTAAGAATTTTTTTTAATATATATTTTTTTATTTTAGAGAGGAAGGGGGGCAGAAGAGGAGACAGAGAGGGAGGGTGAAAGAGAGAGAGAATCTTAAGCAGACTCTATGATCAAAATGACTAACACACTCTGCATGGAGCCAACAGGGGGTCCTGAGACCCTGGGACCATGACCTGAGCTGAAATCAAGAGTTGGATGCTCAAATTTCTGAGCCACCCAGACACCCCCAGAAAGACATATTTTAAACTTAAAACAAGAAAGCCAGGAGGAAGAGTATTTCAGACACCATACAAGGAATCAGCTTACAAAATCTCTAAAACAACTGAGTGAAGATTTCAGAGAAAATGAATCAAAGTAGACAAAATAAAAATACTAGCCTTTAACAAGAATGCTAAGTAGAAGTCAAAGAGAAAAAGGTGAGACACACACACATGCCTAGCCAAGAAAAAAGAAGCAGGACAATGAAGTTTTAGGCCTATGTCAAGAGACAAAGCAAAAGTATATCTCCAGACCTAAGCCCTTTTTTAAAACATAAAATGTATGTCATTTTTACATGTTAGTGAAGGTTCGTTTTTTTGTTGTTGTTGTTTCTTTTTTTATAATTCTTTATAGCAAGTTAAACAGTAAGACGGTCAACTCAATAAAAGACACTAACTAGTGTCTTCAGTTTTAAGTGTTTACCTACAATGATTAAATCTACAACAGAACAAATATAAACAGAGAGATTACTAATAATTCACCTCCCCAATGCTAGTAATGATGTGCTATCACATGCATTTCACATATTTTACATACCTCTTCATTGATAATGGTGGCATTGCTCAATGAGCGTAATGCTGATGTTATTTTTCTTCCAAGGTCTGCTAGTACCATCTTGAAGGCTTTGGTAGATGTGATTACAAGAAAATCTAGGAAAGAAAAAATTAAATAAAAACATTTGAAAATAATCAATACCGGTTCCCATAACTGGAGACTTCTAAAAAAGAGTATTTAAATTCAAATAAAGTACTTCAGTCTTCAGATACTGTAACCTTGGGGTGCCTGGGTGGCTCAGTCAGTCGAGTGTCCGACTTTGACTCAGGTCATGATCTCATGGTTCCTGAGTTCAGGATGCACATAGGGCTTGCTGCTGTCAGTGCAGAGCCCGCCTCGGATCCTCTGTCTCCCTCTCTCTCCGTCCCTGTCCCTCCCTGGCTTGTGTTCTCTCCCTCTCAAAAATAAACAAACATTAAAAAAAATAGATACTGTGGGGCACCTGGGTGGCTCAGTCGGTTAAGCGTCCGACTTCGGCTCAGGTCATGATCTCACCGTCTGTGAGTTCGAGCCCTGCATCGGGCTCTGTGCTGACCGCTCAGAGCCTGAAGCCTGTTTCAAGTTCTGTGTCTCCCTCTCTCTCTGACCCTACCCCGTTTATGCTCTGTCTCTCTCTGTCTCAAAAATAAATAAACGTTAAAAAAAATTAAAAAAAAAAATAGATACTGTAACCTCAACCTCTATAGCCTCAATCTGCCACTTCAATATAGGCATGCCCAAAAGCTAAACCTACCACTTGATGATGTATACCTAATTGGGATATTTTATACAAATCAGCAAATTTAACCTATCAGATAATATGCTTTGAGGAAATGATGGTATGATCTCAAATCTGGAGATACATTTGAACATGGACATTTTGAACATACATTTGAATATGAGAAAGAGAAAGAAAAGGGGATTTCCACCCAGAAATATTGTCTAATTTATCACATAAAAAGACTTTTGTAAACTATTTTGATTCATGCTCTAAGCCAAAAAAAAAAAAAAGTTTTAATTAATAGGACACCTAACTTTTCACACACATTATATTAGCTCATCTTACTCTTCTAATAACCAAGGAAAGAGGTATATTACTAATCTTCCCATTTTAAAGCTGTTCTTGATTCCCCAACTCTGAAACAAGATAACCTCAAAGACCCTATCCAGCTCTAAAACGTTACAGTTTTATAAAGTATGCAGATATACCCATTACACTTAAGTCCTATGCAAGGATTTATGGACGGTAAGCAAGCAAGCATGACAGGTGGTCCCTGGCCTCAAGTTGCTTATCCACTAGCTGGTAAAACAAGGCACATGAATGAATGGCAAAATAAATACTAAGGGAAGTCCTCTTGCCTGACTGCCTTGAACCGGGACATTGGCTTTTTCCTACCTTCAGGCTCAAACGAAACATCAGCTCTTCCTGGGTCTCAAGCCCGCCAGCCTTTTTAGACTGGAACTACACCACTGGCTTAGCTCTCCTAGGTGTCCAGCTTGCCAAGTTGAAGGATTTTGGGGCTTAATTAGCCTCCATGATCACATGAACCATTTATTATTCCTTATAATAAGTCTCTTTTTATATATGTGTGTATATATATAAATGTGTGTATAAATATACACACATATATACACATATATGTAAATACACACACATATCCTATTGTTTTTGTGGAGACCTTTAATAACACCAGTAAAGTATGAGTTCAAAGTTAGTAATGAAACTTTATGATCAATGGCCAATGATTATTTCTATAAAAATTCTAAGCAAGAAAAAACAGGCTCAAGGAGACAGAACAGGCTGTACAGAGAAGCTTGAATGTGAATTTGATCCTGAAATATAGGTAGAACATGGGCAGGTGGAAAAGAAGACAAAAAGGAATTTGAAGATGATATGGCATAAGCAGAAATTGAGACATGGAAAAGCCTGGGACATACTTACAACTTACATATACATATGTATGGACTTGTAGATTATTAAATATGCATTATTTAGGAGACAGTAAATTATATATTCTAGTCAGACAGTGGGCTATCTAATTAAAAGGAAATGCAGTTAGTAAAGGGCTCTGAAACCACGTTAAAAAGTATCAATTATCTGGTATAAATAAGTACTATCAGCAGAAAAGTTCATTTGTTCAAAACAATTTAGTAACTCTTCTGAATTAATCCAATCTAATATAGTCAACCAAGATAATCTAGACTAGATCCTACATAGAGAGTATACAGGAGATTAAAAATAAGAGAAACAGAAGGACAAAATTGCTGACTCATTCAACATCCAGAAAGCGGAGATGAGGGGAGTCAAAAGAAGCAGGAAAGGAAACGCACTCAAGGACTTATCACTGGCAAAGAGATATTCCAGGTTGAGCTCCAGATTAAACACTACACTTCCACTCACATAAAATTTAGAACCTAAAAAATTACTAACAATACTTGATGAAATTGAAAACAATTGCTTACCATAACTTGTTTACAATTACATGGTTACTTCACCTAAAAGACCAACTACTTCACAGAAAAGATCCAGCACTTTTTGTTTCTTCTCCCATACTCCTTATATTATTATTGCTTAAGTAAATATTCTTGAGGTAAAAAGTAAGAGCCAGATGTTTCAGTTCATCTCCTTTACCACTGTGCTACCAGGAGAGATATAATCCTAATTATGACACCACAATTTACTTTTTTAGAGATCATGTCATAAACATGTCATCCTCCATTTTAAAAAGCTATACTAGTTAACTAAAATAAACCTATTTCCCATATTGGCCAGATCTTTTTTAAAAAGCTTGTTAAGTTTCCTTTCCTTTTTTAAAAAAAATTTTGAGAGAAAGAGAGCAAGCAGGGAAGGGGGGGCGG